GTTTAACATTCTTTCCTCCACTCTGCCCCACATTTAGCTTATAGGAAGTTCCTCTTCCAAGCCAACTCAAGTCTTTCATTCTGAGCTTACTTCTACCTGTTTATGTGCTCATTAAGACCAAATAAGATGACAACAGACATGAATTAAAAGCCTGTTGTGTGTGTCCCGGCTCTGGGTTAGGTTCTGTTACTCACATTGTCTTGTTCGACCACCTAACAGTGCTCTGGGGAAGGACAAATGCCCGTATGAAGAGGAGGGGAAACAGAGGTACAGAGGTCCAAGGTTACCCAGCTTGAAAGGGGCAGAGCTCAGATTTAAACTCACGCTTCTGATCCCCCAAGGCCAGATTCATTTCTATCAAATGATAAGCATTGGAGACATGGCAGACGTTATTACCCGCCCCCATCCCCATCCTCAAAGTAGCATCCACAGACTGAGCCCTTCAGGAGCCTCATGCAAGATTCAGACCCAGATGTGACAGGACCCCGTCTAGACTGTGTCTGTCAGCAGGAGACATGAGACCAAGCAGAGGCTGCCGGGTATGCAGCAGCTTTATTCTGGCCCCCCAGGTTCACACAAGACAGTCTCGAACCCAGAGCTGTGAGCCTGGGAACCAGCAGGGACTCCCTCACTGGCCGTGTGAGTCACCCTGAAGGGTCAGTCAGGGTAGTGGTAACCTTGCTTGCTTCTGAGGTTTGGTTTTTTCCCCCCGCGGTTCCTTTGCAGGGACAATGATCCTGTGGCACTGAGCAGCCCCTGCTGTTCCAGCTGCTCCTGCTTTCCCTGCTTCTTTTACAAGTTAGATCGTGGGCATCAGAGGATGTGAAGCCCTGGCTGCAGCTCCCAGGACGAGCAGAGGGGGCCATTCTAGTGCTCTTCAGCAGGGGCTCAGTTCTACTAGGCTGCCATTTCTTTAAAAGCTGCCACTCTTGGGCTACAGGGCGTGGTCACTGCTATGTAATCTATACTCACTGAGCAGGGCACAAATAAGCTAAGCCAATTCACTTTGGCTTTAGAATGGATTGTAAAATTAAGGTGGTAGGAGGAGCAGGGCCAGCTCCCTGATGTGTTTAGGTTAGGTGGAATATGAATTTAAGTTTGCCTTGCTAGTAGGAGGTTGGAAATGTCCTGGGGTGGAAGAAGCAGCAGACTCTAGATTCTAGAAATGAAAATCTCTCCTCGATGATGTGTTTAACATAACCCCCGAGTAGCTACTTGAGTATCTAACACTTAGAGCCACGAGTCCCGGTCTTAGCTGGGTAGAAATACTAACGCCAGGCCCCTGCCCTGGAGAGTCACCTGAGTGGGACCTGGGACTTTGCTTTTTATTGAGCTCTCCAGATGGTTCTTCTGCTCGGCCAGGCTGGTACCTGTTGGTATAGGGGTGCCACGATGGGGCTGCGAGAGGGAATTTTGGTACTGAGTCAGGAACTAGGGATCTGAGATCTGCCTGGAGCCCAGAGCCCACCCCATTCATCTTGGTTGCCCCTGCTCCCCACTCTCCACAGCTTCCACTGGACACGAAACAGCAGATTCTTCAACATTGCCAAGGACCCCCGGGTGTCCATGAGGAGGAGGTCTGGGACTCTGGTGATTGACTTCCGCAGTGGCGGGCGGCCAGAGGAATATGAGGGGGAATATCAGTGCTTCGCCCGCAACAAATTTGGCACAGCCCTGTCCAATAGGATCCGCCTGCAGGTGTCTAGTGAGTAGCATGGGGCAGGGCTGAAATGCCCTGCTCCTGGGTAAATGGAGAGTGGGGGATGTGGAAGGTCATTCCAGAAGGGCTGCACTTGCCCTTGGCCTGCAGATGCCTTGGTGTTCTCTGTGCATCTTCCCCAGCTCAGAACGATTCCTTGGAAAGGAAGCTCCCAAAGCTTCCTTTTGAAGTTGTTGTCTGCAACAATTTCACTGGCCACTGTGGGCACAGGAGAGGGGAAAGGAGGGGAGCCTTTGAAGATGCCTCCCTTCTCCTGCCTCTCAAGGGCAGCCCCTCGAGTAGGCTTACGTGCCCTGTCTCTTTCTCTTGCTCCCTCCTTATCCAGGTGCCCTTTCTGTTTCTTCTCTTTGCATGCCTGCCTCTGACCCTGCTCCTTGCCCTGGGCCCAGCCATCACCCTCACTTTGTCCTCTTTGTCCACTTCTCTCCAGAATCTCCTCTGTGGCCGAAGGAAAACCTAGACCCTGTCGTGGTCCAAGAGGGTGCTCCTTTGACGCTCCAGTGCAACCCCCCGCCTGGACTTCCGTCCCCGGTCATCTTCTGGATGAGCAGCTGTGAGTCTTGGGGGCCTGGTGTGGTGTTTATATTTTAACCTTAGGGAGCGGGGTGGGTGTGTTAAATGAGGAAGGGCTTACCCGAGCTAGAAGACCTTGATTTGTGAGAAGCAGATGCAATGTGGCAACCGGGCTGAGAACACAGGCTCTGCAGAGAGAGGCTGCTGGGGCTTGTTTTCTAGCCTGGCTGCTGTGTGATCTTGAGCAAATTGCTTACATCTCTGGGCCTCAGTTTCCTCTTCTGGAAAAAAACAGAGCTAATCATAGTGCTTCTCTAATAGGATTATTATAAGAATAAATGAGTCAATACGTCCAAAGTGCTTAAAACAGGGCCAGACACACAGTATGCACTTGGTAACATGATAATGAAAATGAAGAGTAAGACAGAAGGGATTAGGGGAGAAGATGAGAAATGGTTTTTCCAATTGGCCAATTGAAAGCGGTTGATACTAAACCACCTCTTTCAATTATTGGCCGGTCTGGATTTACTCTGATTCGCTCTTCTGGTAGGAGGAAGGGTGAATGGGGAATTGAAACCTTTCATAAAGAAGTGATGGGGAGATAAGGTATCTGGAGCAGGGACAGAGTAACATCTTTCAGTGATTGTTCTGGCTCAATTTTCGACTGAGGCTCATTCAACCTTTCCGGACCTCAGTTTCTTCCCATGTTTTCAATTTAAATAAAAGGAGAAGCATTAATAAAGGTAAATAGAAAGCTGTTATCTCTCTG